GAAAAGGTCAAGCCAGTTTATGTTAGCCAACTATTTCCTGAACTACATTGGACCAGACTTATTCAATTATTGTGTGAGTTTAAGGAATGCTTGCTTGGGATTATGTAGAAATGCCTGGGTTGTCCAGAGAGTTGGTGGAGCACTGTTTACTAATCAAAGAAGGATTCTTGGGGTACAAACAGCCTCCTAGGAGGATGTCTAAGGAGGTAACTCTACTAGTCAAAGGTGAGTTGAAGTGTCTACTTAAAGTTGGGTTTATCAGAACTGCTAGATACATAGAATGATTGTCAAACATAATGCACGTAGTCAAGAAGAATGGAAAGATTAGAGTATACATAGACTTCAAGAACTTGAACCTGGCCACCCCTAAGGATGAGTACCCCATGCCTGTAATAGACTTGTTAGTTAATGGTATTGCTAGGCACAAGGTCCTATCCTTTTTGGATGGCTATTTAGGATACAACCAGAATTTTATAGCAGAAGAGGATACAACCAAAACAGTCTTCTGTTGTCCTGGTGCTTTGGGAACATATGAATGGGGTGTAATACCTTTCACCCTTAGGGTCTGTTTGGGAAGATGATTTGTAGCTAAAATAGCCACAAAAGACAAAATAGACTATTTTAGTCACAACAAACAAAACATCACATCCAACCTATAATCATTACACTCTTCTCTAATAAAAAAAGTCAAAAAAGCCAAAAAGTCCTTCCCAAACCAAGGCTTGGTTTGGGGTACACTAAATAATACAAAAAGTAAAAAAGTCACTATCCTATTTAAGTCACATCATCTTATTTAAATCACATCACCTCTCTAACACATCACATCAAACCCAACCCAAACCCAACCCAAACCCAACCCATATAAGCCAATAAGTCAAAAAGTAGACTTTTTTAGAACATCCCAAACCAACCCCAAGCTTTTTAGCCCAGGCTAAAATAATCAAAAAAAGCCAAAAAGCCAACCCACTTCCCAAACTAACCCTTAAAAACGTTGGGGCTACTTACCAACGTACCATGAATTCTCTATTTCAGAACATGATAGGCCAATTTATGGAAATATACATTGGTGACGTAGTGGTGAAGTCGAATTCCTATGATGAACACTTGGCTGATTTGAAGAAATCTTTTGAAAGAATGAGGGAATGTAAATTAATCCTTTGAAATGTGCCTTCGGTGTAACAGTAGGGAATTTCTTGGGATTTCTGGTTCATCAGAGGGATTGAAATTGATAAGAACAAGGCAAGGGCAATCCAGGAAGCCAAACCTCCTACTTGCAAAAAGGAGTTGTAAAAGCTTTTAGGACAACTCAGTTTTCTTAGATGTTTCATCTCAAATCTGGCAGGAAAGGTAAAAATCTTTTCTTAGTTGCAAGGTTCTGAAAAGCGGTTGCAGTCGCCATAACGGTAGCGGTGACGCGGTTGTGGTTGCGGGGTGTAAAGGCCGTAGTGTAACGGTTGCGGTAACAGAAACTGTGAATTTTTTTATTTTTCGCACAATTTGAAAAAAACTTACCAATACGCATATTTTTTTTCCATGATCATATTTATTGAGTTAAAAATAACAGCAGTGATTTAGACCCCCTCAAACTTCAACCCCCACCACCCTCATACACACGTGGCGGATGGTGATTAGAGGAGAAGAAAAAAAAGAAAAAGAAAAAGTGACCAATCAAAAAAGAAAGGGGGTCAAAGGGGTGGGGGAAAGGGGGTCCCAATCTTTATTCTAAAAATAAATATTGATCAATTTTTGTAAATTTTTAAGTATGATCCAATATATTTCATATTTTTAAATCACTATAAACTGAGTTTTTTACATTTTATTTTAATAATTAATGACTTTATATTATACAAAAAATCAATCACTAACTATTATATATAAGATAAACAATGACAAAAGTAAGAGAATAAATAAGAGCCTAAATATATATATATATATATATACATATTTTAACCAAGCCAAATAGATAATGATTACACCTATTATTATTATTATTATTTTCAAACAATATATAGATAAACACACACAAACAAAATAGTTTAGTGATAGCAGCTGAATAGAATAGCATAGGTCTTATAGTTTCAACAAATCAATAACATGTTTTTCATCTTCCCCCTTCTCTCTCTATCTCTTGTTCCTCCATTTTCTCTCTTTATCATCCCTCTTCTCTCTATCCCTCTTCCCCCATTTTCAGCTTTTTTTTGTGTTTTTTCGAAAGAAACAGTTTGGAACCGTTACGTAACGGTGCGTCACAAGCTGTTACGACTGTTACGGCACCGTTACGACCGTTACGGCAGCCGCTACAGCCGACACACCTGTGAATCTCAATCACATTGCAAAAGCGGCCGTAACGGGTGGCGGTAACCGCCAAAACCGTTACGTAACGGCGTTACGTAATGGTTGCGGCCGCTTTTTAAAACCTTTTAGTTGCCAAAGTTGAAAAATGAAGAACAATTTGGATGGGAGCCTTATCACCAGCATGCCTTTGAAGTCATCAAGAGGTACTTAGTACAGCCTCTTGGCTTAATTCCTCCTATCAAGAATAAAGTTCTTAAGTTGTACATTTCCGCTTTGGAGAAGTCTATTGGGAGTTTGTTAGCACAGGATAATAAGCGTGTGAAAGAACAAGCAATTTATTATCATAGCAGGCTTCTGACTCCGTTGAATGTAAATAGAGTCCTATGGAGAAATTATGGGCTTGTTTGGTTTGCTTTTGGGAGAGTTATTTTTGAAATTTTTTTCCAAAATGTTGTTTAATTTGTGATTTTTTTCAAAAAATTTCCAAAATCACTCTCTCTTGCACATCAAATATTCACTTTTTCTCTCTCATCTCTCATTTTCAATCACTTTTTCTCTCACACACATTTACTCAATTACAATAAAATATCAAATCATCTCAAACTCCCAAACTCCAAAACTACTTTCAAAATATACAACCAAACAAACCAAAAAAATTTCTAAACTCTCTCCCTAATTTTTTTTTTTGGTTGAAAATCACTCTCTTAAAAGCAAACCAAACACACCCTATGTCTTGCACTTTATTTTTTTGCAATAAAACCAAGGCATTACATGCTTCCTATTTTGGTTTACTTAGTGTGCAAAATTGATTTGATTAAGTATTTACTTTCTCGACCCATAAAGAGAGGCCGAATTGGTAAATGGGCCTTAGCTCTAATGTAATTCTCATTTCAGTACATTCCTCAAAAGGTTATGAAAGGCTAGGCCCTAGCAGATTTCCTTGCTGATCATCCTTGTTTAGAAATTGGCAATGAATCTGGATTTAACCTAACTTCATGTTTTTCTTGTTTCACTCTTTGGACTTTGTTATTTGATGGTTCTAAAACGAATTTAGTTTCTGGATGTGGGGTCATAATCATTTCTCCCAAAAGCTTGAAGACACAATTTCTTTTCAGTTTAACTTTGAATGCTCAAATAATTAGGCAATAATTAGGCCAAACATGAAGCTATGATAATCGGATTGGAGATGTTGAGTGTAATGGGAGCTTCAACAGTAGAAGTGATTGGAAACTCACAACTTGTCATTAATCACTTAGGGGCATTTATAATGCCATAGTGAAGATTTGGCTCCTTACTTCATGGAGGCCAAATAGCTCCTAGCAGACATTGATGATGCTTCATTCAAATACATTCCTAGAAGCTTCAACTATGAAGCCGATGAGATGGCTCAAATTGCAACCGGAGTATGAATTCCTCAAGGATTTCATCAGAGAACCATCACCATCCAGAAAAGATTGCTGCCTTCAGTTAAGAGAAGGAAGCATCCTATCCTGAAAGTGAACATGTCAGAAACTTCTGAGGAAGATTAGCATTTTCCTATAGTCCAATTCTTGAGGCTTCCACAATTTCTTGTGGATAGAAAGACTAGAAGGAAAGAAACGCACTATGTTTGGATTGAAGGAGAACTACACAAGAAAAGTCTAGAAGATGACCTGCTCTTGCGATGCATTTCTAAGGAAAAAGCAATTGAAGTAATGGTTGAGGAGGCACATAAAGGAATTTATGGGGCTCATCAAGCAGGAAGGAAAATGAGATGGTTAATCAAAAGGTGTGGATACTATTGGCCTACTATTCTTTTAGATTGTGTTAGATTTTCCCAAGAATGCCTACCATGCCAAGCCCATAGCCCTATCCAACATGCTCTAGCAACTTCTATGAATTCCGTAGCTACGCCATGGCCATTTAGGGGTTGGTGCTTTGACATGATTGGCAAGATCTTTACGCCTTCTTCAAAAGGTCATTCCTACATATTTGTGGCTATGGATTACCTTACAAAGTGAGCCGAAGACATTCCTATGAAGTCAGTAAATCAAAGTGACATCATCAAGATGATCAAGGAAAACATTATCCATGGATTCGGCTTGCCTCAACATATTGTGGCCGAGGAATTGTTTTATTTAGTGGGGAGGTCCAGGCCTTTGCCAAAGAGTATGGTATAAAACTCTCTCATTCAACTCCATATTATGCTCAAGGCAATGGCCAGGCCAAGTCAACAAATAAAGTTTTGAAAGGCATCATTGAAGGAATGATTGGAGACAAACCCAGAATTTGGCATGAAGTCCTATTAGAAACATTGTAGGCCTACAGAACTTCAAAGAGAACAACAACAGGAATGACACCATTCATGCTTACTTTTGGGCATGATGCAGTCTTGCCTATGGAAGTTACTGTGAAGTCCTTAAGAGTTGCCTTCCAAAATGGGTTAAATCCTACTAAATAGAATACAATCAAGCCATGTTTATGGAGCTTGAAAATCTAGACAAAGGTTGGCCGCCCTAGATCATCTTCTAGTACAGAAACAAAGAGTAGCCGGGGCTTATAATTGAAGAGTCAAAACCAAGAGCTTTGCAGAAAATGACTTAGTCTGGAAAGCAGTCTTGCCATTTGGTGAAAGAGATCCTAAGTTTGAGAAATGGTCTCCAAGTTGGGAGGGCCCATTTCAACTTTTTAGAATTTGCAAAGGAGGTTCTTAGTTGCAAGATCTAGATGGTGAATTACACAAGCATCCAATAAATGGCAAGTATTTGACAAAATTCTATCCAACAATGTGGGAAATGTGGAGTCAACAATGCAGAATTCATTGCATTCATCAGATCAAAAATGGCCTGAACAGGCCGAACAAAGCTACACATGTGCAGAAATGTTAAAAAACGGCTTGGTCCAGAACCAAGCTAACAAAACAAAAACGGCTCTAATAGGCTGAACAAAACAAAAAGTGCAGTAAATTTCTAAGCTAAGCAAAAGTTCCAAAGTGCAGGGAAAAAGAACATTACAAGAGGTCGCTTAATTTGGCCTTGAGAATGTTCCAAGGAGCATCCACTACTTGCAAATCAGTCACTATCCTGGCACGGGTTTCTACAAACTCAGGAAGTTTGACATCCAACTCTGAGGGTTTAGCACTGACAGGAGAAGAAACTACTTACAATTCCTGTTTTTGGCAGCCAGAATAGTGCATATTTCTCAACGTCTTGCAGTTGAACTTGAAGAATAGCAATTTGGTCCTTCAGGTTGGCAATATGCTTTTCCTTAGCATCAGTAGCTTCCTTCACCTTCTTGTAGGATTCCACATACTCTTTCAAAAGATTTTGCAAGTAAGCCAACCGCTGGAATTTCCTATCAATTTCTCCTTGTTTTTGAACAAGGGATAGGCGAGTCTGGCTTAAGTCAGAAAGTTGTTGAAATTCTTGAAGAGCCAATTGAAGATGAGAATCAAAAGCTACAAAAGTAGCTAAAACCCCCAAAGCAGAAGTCAAAACTGGAAGTCGTCCTAGATTGCAGAACATCTGAGAAGTACATAGCAGTCAGAGACCTCAGGTCATTTTTGGATTTCTTAACTTTACTTGAGGAAGGAATAGCTTGGCTTGAAAAGGCAATCCCACTGTCTGAGGCAGAAACAGTTGGAGTAGTTTTCTGTGATAGTACCTCAAAATAAGCATCTAAGTTCACAATTAGCTTTGGAACAGATGGAGCAGTTTCTGGTGCGAAGGTTTGGGTAGTTTCAACTTGGGCTACTGTAATTTCTTGGGCCTCTTTCTGCACAGAAGGATCAAGTGTAAGAAAGAGGGAAAACAAAAGTCAAGGAAAGTAATTGTGAAATTCAACCTTGTTGACGGATGGCGGATAAATTATCTCAGGAAGATCATCTTCTGTTTGAGACGTAGTGGCAGAATTGGAGGAAACAACCATGAGAGTGCTGCCTTTGTGTGCTGCCATCTTATACCTTTTTGGTCTGGTTGGAGCTGAAGAGCCTTTGGCTAGGATTTCCTTAGCTGGAGCTTTGGTTTCTTTAGTTACAACAACCTAATAAGATTTTTGAAACCAGGAGGAAAACTCAGAACAGAAGATATATGAGAGAAATAAACCAGAAATGTTGGATCATTCCTACCCGAGGAGAGGATGAGCTTGGAGGACTTGCTGTAATTTCTTCTTTGCAGTTGGATCTAGTTCGTTTGGCTAGAGGAGTGGCAGTTTCCTGCATACAGAAATTCAATTTATTAGTAGAGATTAAAGTTTCATTTGTCAGAAAAGATGGTACATACTAAACCTACCAATTCTACTCTAGGAAAAACCGCCTTTCTTTTTGCTGGACTTTTCTTGCCAGTTTCTGGTGGCATGTCAGAGGAAGCAGGAATAACAACTGCAAGGCCAAAACAGAGAGATTTTCAGAAACAAGCAGAAATAAAGTACGCTATCAGAAAAGAAGCAACTGACATGCATCAGGGGCAGGATTCACTTTGATCACTCATTGTCTAATAGCATCCTCAACCTCCTAAGGAGGAACATTGGTCTTTGCAACAGTAATTTTCTCCTTTTCAGAAAGGAAGGCATCCATTCCTTTTTCATAGACTGTATCAGCAAAGACTGAGGATGTATTAGGAAATGGAGGAATGACTCTACCATAGGGTTTCAGGAAAGTTTCTAAGGCAGGAGTTTTGGCACTTCAGTCTAATAGCCTCTAAGGAATGCCAAGTTTGCATTATCTTTGTGTTTGTTAGAGATTTCAGTCAACTTTTCCTCTTGTATTCTCTCCGTTTCCTCAAATTTTAGAGGGTTTTGTTTACACTTACAGAAATCCTCGAAATGAAATGATCAGATAATGAGAATGTACCTTTTTTTCTGTCCCCCAGATGGGGCAAGACTTGGAGATGCTTTTTTCTTTGCTTCTTCAATTCTTGCTATGCGGTCTGGAGAGAGACAAAGCAGGAGTGCGCCTAGATCAGCAGATGTCTTGTTCATAATGTGCATTCCCCACCAGACATCAAACTCAATGGTTGCATCAGGAACTTCATTGAAGGCTCTGAAGTTAAATTTCTGCTTCAAAGCAGGAAAAACAGGGCTGAGGGCCTCAATGTCTAAGTTGCTCAAAATAAATATGCTCCAAAATGTGTCATTGTAGGACTAGTATGGAGGAATGGGGATCATCTGGGACAAACCAAACTAACGAGCAAATTGCGTGGCATTGTAGATTACTACACCACATTTGTTGTTGTTTGGTGTAAAGCTAAGGCCAAATGAAAGATCTTTGGAGATCAGAAAACTAGTCTAGACTTCAAATTGCTTTCTGGCCAGTGGCTTGGGATGGAGGAGTAGTTAGCTAGGAAGGAGCAAAATCACGTGAAAAGGGAAAAAGGGCAGAGGCATCACGAGTAACCAACTTTCGGTAGAAGAAAGTAAAGCAAGCATCAAAGGCATGAGTCTTGGGGTAGGCCTCTAGCAAACGGAGGTCAAAACACTCAAACTGTGGTGCAGAAGCAGGAATTGATGGAGCAAAGAGCCAGCGCTAGAGCTACATAAGCCAGAAGGGTCCAGATCCATTTGTCAAGTGTGAAGAGACCAACTCTATCATACCTCTGTAAAGGTGTGAAAGAACAAGAGGGCCTAGTGCTAACTTCCTACCTTGAGAGAAGGCCTTGGTAGTTCTGTGAAATCCTTCGTAAATTTTAGAGAAGGAATGCAAAACAGACATTTGTTTAACCAGAAAATCAGAAATGACATGTGCTCAAGGTTAGAAACTGCTGGAGTTTTCTGAGCAGCAACCAGGAAGGAGGAATAGGTAAGCAGTTTCTTGTCAGGGTAAATCTAAGCTACATCTTTGCAAGTGAGAAGGTTGTCTACTTCTTCTCCATGGGGGCGAAAACCAGCCAAAAAAACATCTTGCAAAGTGGGGGCCATCATACCAGCTCTTAATGCTATGTTTGGTTGGGTTGGGGGATTTGAGGAATTTGGAAAGGAAAGTGGAAAAGATTACATTTCACCTAGTTTTACACACCTTTTCTTTTTCCCTTTCCAAATCCCTTGCTAAATCCTCCAACCAAACACATCATAAATAAAAGTAGTTGGTGGAGATGGACCAAAAATGAGAAATGAAAAAGAATAGAACTTTGTCAAGACGAATGTTACCTTGGCTCAGTATGATCGCGTCATAGATTCCTGCCTCTTTCCAGACTTGGCTCTTAGCAGCAGCCATGTGATCTAACGAAGCAACATACTCAGGCTTGGGAGAGTGCCAAACCTTGATAGGTGAAGAGAGATTGTAGCGGTTATAGTTAACAGGAATAGACTTTTCAAATGGCAGCTTCTTTTCTAGGCAAGGATAATACTTGTTCAAGGAATAAGGGAAACCAGCAGCAAAAGCAGGACCAAGCCCCAATTCGCGTCTCAGAGTCAAGCCAATGGAGTAAAGACGATCGATCAAATACTTGGAATAGATTGAGGGTTTCCTCTTCTTAATGAGCTCATCAATTTTAGGCCCAACAGTCTTGGGATCATTCTCAGAAGTGGCAGCATTTTTGGCAGCCATGGATGAAATCAAAGAAGAAAGAGAGGGAAGAGTTTTTGAGAAGAAGAGGAACCGTAAAGTGAAATCGAAAAGACAGTTGGGGCTATTTATAGCCCTAGTGCTAAATGGGTTAGCTTCTTAAGGAAACTAGAGCCAAACCCTTGGCAGCATGGCTTGAATTTTGTGAAATTAGGGCTAAAGATCCTCATCTAATCACTCCATTAAGTAGTCCTCATCAAAGCTTGCAACTGATGTGATGCCGTCAACCATTTCCCAGAGTTTTTGAGTCTATCATATGAAGAAGTGTCCTCATCAATTTTTCCATTGAGAGGATGCCGCCATGATTGACAAGCGTAATAACAGACATCGGCACCATTTCCCACAGTGATGTTTCTCAAAGCTCCGTTCTCCAAGTCTACATTTCTCAAGGGTCTTAAGTCCATCACATCAAGGAGAGTTATCATTGGATCTCAAGAATCAAGGCAACAGGGGGGTGTTAAGAATTCAAGTACATCCTTTCAATTCCTTGGAAGAAATAAAGAATATATTTGAAGAGGGGTATTGTTTGTACCGTTTTTGGCAAATTTTTCAATTGGCAATTCTCCAATTAATTTAATGCCACGTGGCAATAGAAGGTGAAAAGTTATTGATTTTTGAAAGCCCACCGAAGTCAAATGGCAGCTACAAAGGGAGTTAATTTATTTTATTTAATTAATTGACCAAGATAATTGATTGATTGATTTGTTAAATAAATTAGTTATGTGAGGATAATGAGAGCCTCAACCATTCCTAAAGATTAGGAAGTAGTTGAGGCTTGTCTCCCAAAATAAAGCTTTATCCCCTTGTTTGTTGCTAAGTGGTTGTTATTTGTAAGGATTACATGGGATTTGAAAGCTTGGCAAATCAACAACAAGGTTACAAAAGTGGAACCGATTTTCCCAATTCAAGGCAAGTTGGTTTTTAAGGTCTTTTATGGGTCATGTGGCAGCTTGAAGGGGCTTAGTGGACCAATTCAAAGCTACAAAGAAGGCACTTACCATTTGTGGTCAAAGTTGTTCATATTCTTGAAGATCAAGCTAAGGATCAAGGGACACACAGGTCACAATGAGAAGCTGCCTCGTTCCTGGCAGTTAAGCAGAAATGGAAGCATCCCCAACACTATAAAAGGACTTTAAGTGCAACATTTGAAGGGGTCTATCACCAAACAACTCAACCAAAATTTTTTCAATACATTTATCTTAGCTTCATAGCTTTTATCTATCTTAGCTTCAAAACTTTTATAGCTTTATCTTTAAATTCAAGCAATTCAATTCCACTCAATCAGTTGTTTATCTCAATTATCTTAGATTAGCAATTATACTTCATTTATCAATCAATGCAAGTCTCAATTCTAGTTTAGTCATCTTTAGCACCTAGTAAATTTATTGAAAGTCCTCTTCATTGAGGCAAGATTCGAAGTAGTGGCAGTTCCTCTGAGTCACACAGTTATTTCTGTGCTAGAAGTCAGAAATACCCAAAAATTCCTACATCTTGAACTAGGTTCGCAAGTTCTTGCTCGTAATCAAACATTAAACACAAGCTTATGTGTTCGCCCCTAAGATTTTCTAAGAGGTAAACAAATTTTTCTAAGTGGTACCTTCGACATCCTTCTAAATAGGTTTCCAAAAAATATTAAAAACCCAAATATATGTATGTGTGTGTGTGTGGGTGTGTGTATAACTTCCATAAAATTGTTGCAATACCAAGTGTAAAATAACATAAAATTAAACATTTTGAACAAATTATATATAAAAATAAAATAACACACATTTGTTATAAACTATAAAGCAAAGCACGTTTCATGTAATAAAATTAAGAGCTAAGTAGTTCATAAAATGCTAAGTTGGGTTCTAATGGTTAACAATGTCAACAAATACTTCATCTTTTATTTCTTCTTATTTTATTTTATTTTGTTTCCAAGATAAGTTTTTTCATTATTTCCTAATTTATACTCATGATCAATTCCATATTAGCATTTTAAATTCCATTTTTTTTGCCCGATGAACACTCTTTTTCTGTTTGGTAGGTTCTTCGTCATGCTCCATGCTCCGTAGGAATACTAGTGGACCGGGGATTTGGTTCTATTAACAAAATATCAAGATCATCAGTCTACCTTAATGCAGCAGTTATTTTCATTGGAGGTAAAGACGATCGTGAAGCACTAGCCTATGCAGGTCGTGTGGCGCAACATCCTGGAGTGAAACTCACAGTCATAAGATTCCTACTGGATGCGAATACGGACAATACTACCTCAACAAGACATGTCAGACCTAGAGTGAATACACCTGAGCAAGAAGAAGAGATTAAGCTCGATGACGAGTGCTTTGCTGATTTCTATGACAGGCATGTGGCCAGAGGACGGGTTGCTTACATGGAAAAATATCTTGTGAACTCTGGCCAAACATTTTCCACCTTGCGTTCACTGGAAGGGCAGTATGGGCTTTTCATAGTGGGCCGAGGAGGGAGGGTGAATTCAGTTTTGACTGTGGGGATGAATGACTGGGAAGAGTGTCCAGAGCTAGGACCCATTGGGGATATTTTATCAGCTTCTGACTTCTCAGTTACAACCTCTGTATTGATCATCCAACAACATAGTCTTAAAGGGGAACTAGCTGGCCTGGATGATGAATTTTCAATCATGTAAATGTAACTGCTAGCAACATGTGATTCCAATTATAGATAGGTACCTGATTATTCATTTTTTAAACAAAATAACTAGGATACTTGTAGATGAATGTAAATGAAACCTAGTAGAATGCAATTTAACCAAATGGATGCAATGTAGATGTACAAACAAAGCTAAGAGCATATTCTTTTAGGTTTTCTTAAGAAAGTTCCAATGATTGTGCGTGGGGTGTCTTTAGAGTTTCTCAATCATTTTTCTCTACATATGTGTTGAATTCACCCATGTGTGGTGATCATCCAAGTCAAGTTTGGTTGGCAACAATGGGAAGGCAACCAACCAAAGTCCACCTTGGCGGCCACCAACCATCTTGAAGAGTCAAGGATGGAGGCTGCCCAAAGGCTCTCCTACCTACTCCCTCACCTATAAATGGAGGTTGAGAGGAGAGAGCAAAATGTGAGTAAGTGAGGAAGAAAACCGTGAACCAAAGAGTGCGAGAGATGTGAGGCGGAGAGACCGTCTCCCTCGGTGTGAGCGAGGGAGACGGGTGAGTGGCTGAGTGAGGAGAGTGTGAGCTCCTCCTCTATTGTAATCTTTCTGTAATCTCCTCATTGGTATAGTGATAACCGGTTACTCTCCCGTGGACGTAGGCATTGGGCCGAACCACGTAAAATATTGTGTCTCCTTGTGTGTGGGTGTGTTTTTCTGCTTGCAATGATTTCTATAAGGTCTTGGGCGGGATCCCAGATCCCAACAAGGTCTGCTCTTGCTGTACTCCCAGGAATGTAGGTATTAGTCCCAACATCTGCAGTTGAGTCCCCGAATATGTAAATGGCCGGAACGGTGGCATTGGCCAATTGAATTGTGAATGTGGCTATGAAAAGCATTACAAAAAGCAAGGAAGAAGCATATATATTTTCCATGACAAATTGAAATGTTAAGCTCTCTGAGAGCTTAGAGAGAGAGTGCATGTTTTGCTAGAATTCCATGGTAGTTTTATTAGTGGTGTACCAATCTGATGGAGATTGAAGGGTTCATCTCAGTTCTTTTGTATAGATCTAGTTGTTCCATTCAACTAGCTTGTGCTTGTGTTTTATGCTTTCGGATTATTCAAGAGAAGGCTTTCATTCACTCTCTATATGCTAGAGAGAAAATGCTTTCTCTTTGAGATTTTTGTAATTGTTTCATCTGTTTGAGGGTTGATACTAGGTTTAGCATACTATAATGGGTGTTCCATGTGATCATTTTCATTTTCTTGTGTTGGATTTTTGAGAAATAGTGTTGTTGGGGTTTAACCCCTGTGGTTTTTTCATAGTTGACTGTCAACTCTGGCTTTTAGCCAAGTGTTCTGGTTTTTTTTATTTTATTTTTTATATTTAAATATACAAAAATGTCTAAGACCCCATTTTTTCCCCACCCCCTTTGACCCCCCTTCCTCTCTCATTGGTTGGATTTTTTTTTTTTTTTTGTTTCCTCTTTTTTTTTTGTTTCCCTTGTCCTCCAATCACCACCTGCAACATGTGTGTAGGAGGTGGTGATTGGAGGGGATCTCCATCACTCCTCTTAAATATATAAGCAATTAAGGGTTGCTTATGTGAGCATTTATATGATATGGCACGGTGAGTGATAAAATTGGTTGTTTCTAGTTCTAACCTTGTGAACACAACTTTTGATGATGAATATTCATATAACAAGTGAAAAATCTAAAAATATTTGAGGTATTGATTTATGATTATGTTTTAATTTGAAACAATAAATAACAATTACAATCAAACAATCAAGACAAATCGATATAACGATTTAATGTAAAAAAAATCATAATTGGAGTGCTTCTAATTGTGAGAAAAAATCACGAGCCAAAATTACAAAATAATCTACTAAGAAGACAAAAATAGGAATTACAAAAGAGTACTCTCAATTACCTAGTGAATGTATGCCCGAATTGAACTAAATCCGATTTGCCTCTTCTACTACCGTCTTCACCTTGGAATTGTTTTGCCCCACGTTGAATTCACAACGTTAATGTCGAATCTACGACGATGAGCCACTACAGAATCCACCAAAGTTTCAGGCTCAACTTCTTCGGAATCTACTGAAGAACAACTCTCTCTTTTGTGAATAATAGAAAACAAACAAACCCCTTGATGATATTGATATAAAGTTCATGGATCCATTGATCACTCTTAAATCATCAAGCAAACACTCATAAAGCACCCTCAATATAAAACACTTTGTTTTTTCTTCCTTTATCAAAATCTGGACGGCTCAAACTCTAAAACGAGCAAACAATGCATTTTATAGTAAACTGGATCGCGAAGACCGCTCGAGCAGTGTGAGTAAAGGCAGTGCAAAACATATAGGCTGACTGTTCAAGCGCAACTTTCATTGTTTGAGCAGTAAAACTTTCTTCCTAGAAATTTAGGCGCACTGCAAAAGTATTAGATGATCATTTTCTCCATTCGAGCACACAAATAACCACTTGAGCGATCAAATAATTTCGACTGCATTTTCGCTTTTTGCTTAGCTTGATCCCCATACATAGCCAGCCAAGTGGCAAACATGAAAGAATCAAGATCACAAATTTCTTTACATAAGCACAATTTAGGTTAGATTTGCACCTAAGCTTCACTGAAACAAATGAGTGAATAAAATTATAACTGAAAGGAGTTTTATTAAACGGGTTGCCAATTGTAAAAACCTAACCAGAAGTTCTTTCATGTCACAATGAGAGGCTTCCACTGCCTGGGAACAATAAATTTGGGCTTATGGCTGGGGATTGTTTCAATTGCAGCAGCAGAAATAAGTAATCACAGATGGTGAAGTTTTGAAGATAAAGCATCTATTCACACTCACCTTGGTGCGTGGTCATGGCTAATGATTGTGGGTAGTGGATGTCTGGTGTATCTTTGCTGTATTAGGTTTGGTAAAACCGTGGTCATGGCAATTGGATCTTCCTGGGTTGTTAAGAACACTAGCAAAGTTTGTAGATGGAAGGTTCTGGGCGAGAAGATGAGTATTGTGCCATACACCTAAGGCGTGTCATGGATGTTTGATTCCTTGGTTCAAGGTGTGTAACAGCATTTGAATTTTTTAAAAATACTTGTTAAAAAAAATTTATTTTCTTATTTTTTTTTTGTAATTTTTTATATTTTCACTGAATTTTTTTAATATTTTAAGTAATTTTTAAAAAAATTTTAAACACAACTAATATAAATACATTTAAAAAACATAATTTTATAAAAAAAAATTAAAAAAATTCACTAAATATCAAAAATATAAAAAAATATAAAAATTCAATATATTTTTGGTATTTTTATATAAAAATTTAATATATTTTTCATATTTTTGTGTATTTATTATTTTTTTAAAATATTTTTCACAAATATTTTATTTTTTAAATAAATCTAAGTAAAGTATATCTAAAAAAATATAAAAATATTTAAAATTTTAAAAATATATACTAAAAATAAAAAAATATAAAAAATAAAAAATTTAATTTTTAAAAAATTTAATTTAAAAATTTAAACCAAATATACTGATTATGTTTCGGTCTACTGTTTCAACCCAAATATGGATTTAGGTGGTGGCTGGAGATAATTTTGAGTTGAAGTGATTGTTGGGCCCACATTGGTTGGTTGCTGTCTTATTTATTGCTAGGCACTTTTGTTTGTCTTCTAGTCAATGGAAATTCTGTACTTTCAAAGCACAATAACTTGCTATGTCCTTCTGTAAGAGTTCATCGTAAATTTTTTTTATAATTTGAATTGTTCATATTGTGGAGTTCATCAAGAATATTATTTATATAAAAAATTAAATTAATCGGATATTTATAATTTCATAATTAGGTCTTAATTATTTTAAAATTTTTTAAAAGTTATATTAACCGCTAATTTTTATAAAAATGAATGTGCTTTAATTATAGAGCTGTAAATATCTAATCAATTTAATTTTTTACATGAATGATCTACTCGATGAATCTTATAATATGAACAGTTCAAATTATCGAAAGAGGCTCAGAACAACACTCCACAACAAAGCACAATAACCTGTTTTGGGTACAACAAAATCTCTATATCCATAAGAATGAGTGGGTGTCACATGAGTGACATACAGTAATGATAGAGACCTCCGCAAAACACAAATCTTACGACTCTCAAAATGGTCTGAACCATTCATGCTATTATTAGACATAACCTCTAAAAAAATTCAAACACAACAATGATCAATATATCAGTGAGAGTCGTGCATGCCTTCCTTTGTTGGGGGTTCCAAAATTTTTTCGTGGCGTGTATTCACAATACAGCATGGTGTTTATATGGGAAACATGCAGGTTTTGGGCTTGCTGTTTTGTCCTTGGTGGTATTGAGGTAGTGGATCTACTAGTCTATGTAAGGGAGTAGCATGTGAGTAAAACATCGAATGCTATATTTTGCACTAGGTAGGCCATATTGTTGCTGCTAGTTGATAACTTGTTATATGTGGGTCTAGGCCCATATTGTTGCTGCTAGTTGATAACCTGTTATATATGGGTCCATATTTATTCTATTTTGCAACAAATTGATGCTACAAGTTGGTTTATTCGGTGCCCGTTAGTTAGGCTGATCTTTGGGGTTTTACATGATCCTAATTTTGGTCCATATAGTAATTGGTAGTCCATGTAATTGGTCTTGATTGGATTAGGACATATTAGCTAGCTAATTTATTTCTACCTGTTGGATTTATTTATTAATCTTGTACATTCATGTGACTCAATTGGGATTGTTCCGGGGCCACTTCTGACATGGCTTGAAAGTGATGGGGGGAGTCACTATTATCGGCAATTGAAGCCCTTGACTAGCTGCGGTAAAGACTGGAAGATGTGAGATTAGTTGGCTTGGTCTGGTTAGTAGTTTTAACTTATTTTCTCTACGTCTTGATTGGATCAGGACATATTGGCTAGTTAATTTATTTCTACCTGTTGGATTTATTTATTAATCTTGCACATTCATATGACTCAATTGGGTTGTTCCGGGCCATTTATGGCATGGCTTCAAAGTGATAGGGGTAATAACTGCTATAGAGAATTGAGGCCATGGGCAGTGACGAGAGAGGCTAGGAGATTCAAGGTCAGTTGATTTAGTTTAACAGGTGGTACTTGTCTATCCAGCTCTTATGGCTTACTTGTTTTGTTTCATT